TGTAAAAAAAAAAGAAGATTAAAAATAATGGAAGCTTTAATAATAAAAAAGAAAAAGTTAACTCTTAACAATATTAACTACGAACAAGGCCACAATGTGCTAACCGTATTCGGAAATTAAAATAACGCCACAACGCACTACAACATACACACAATGCACACACTCAATTAAGCTGAAAAATGGAATCATCTTTGATAATGGCTAAAGTTAAAGCCGAAAGCGCTTGGAATTGTAATACATTTGAACAGTTTTTACACACTCTTTCTCCAGAAAAGAAAGCTCTTGTTCGAACACAAGAAAAATTTAAATAAAAAGCTTAACCGTGGTACATTATCTGTCGTTTTAAATGAAACATGCATAAACGAAGGATTGCTGCCTAAATATAAAACTATCAAATATATATATATATACGTGTCTGTGTATGTAGGTGGTTGTGTGTCTTTGTGTGTGCGTGTAAGTATGTGCTATGTGTGTGTGTGTGTGCGTGTGTCAATCTGTTCATATCTATTTTCTGTCTCTGTTCATATCTATCTAGGTGTGTTTAAATCGCTTCATATCTATCTATGTATATCTATGTATAAATATACGTGTATGTGTGCGCGTATGATTATGCGTGTGTTATTCTGTTCTAGGTCAGTCTATTCATATCTGTCGGTCTCTGTTCATATCCATCTATCGTTTTACATCTATATATATATGTCTATACATGTAAACAGAATAAGATAGCTAGCTAGCTATATAATTATGAAAAAACTGATATATATATATATATATATATATATATATATATATATATATCAATTATATATCAATAAATATATATATATATATATCAGTTTTTCATAATTATGTAGCTAGCTAGCTATCTTAGTCTGTTTACATGTATCCATCTACCTATGTATCTCACTTTGTTACTATTTACCTATATATATATATTTACATATATATATATATATATGTGTGTGTGTGTGTGTGTGTGTGTGTGTGTTTATCGGTATTTTCACAATTTTATAAATAGCGAGCTAGATATCTTATTTTCTTCATATGTCTATCTTTGACAGTTTGTTCATTATCTATCTATCTGTCTTTCTATATCAATTTGTTCATTGCCTATGGTAATCTTTTCATTATTTATGTCAATCTGTTCATTGTCTATCTACACCAATCTGTTCATATCTGTCTATCTATCTCAGTCTCTTCAATATCTATCTATCTATCTATCTATCTATCTATCTATCTATCTATCTCAGTCTGTTTCTATCTATCTATCTATCTATCTATCTATCTATCTATCTATCTATCTATGTCAATCTGTTTATTGTCTATCTATGTCAATCCGTTCATTATCTATCTATATACCTATCTATCTATGTCAATTCGTGCATTATCTATCTCTGATGATTTATCGATGAAATATTGACAAATTGGCTGTTTTAATGAGAATGCTAAACGTTCTGAGTGGTGCGTCTTACGATAATGCACGCCATGTTGGTTTTGTTTTTGTGGCAATAAATCTATGCTCCATTACTGAATGATATTATCGATTATCGACCTCATTTCTGAAGGACGAATAAATTCGACATCATACCGCATTTTGCAATCGTTATTTGGTTTCATCTTGCTTTTTACACGTAAAAGCAAGTGGATACTGACTACTGGGGTGACTCGGATCGATTTGCTGGCTTCAATCAATACATAGATAGGTAAACATGAATAGACTGAGATAGATAGATAGATAGATAGATAGATAGATAGATAGATAGATAGATAGAATAGATATGAACAGAAGATTTTTAAAGATACACACACACACACACACACACACATATATATATATATATATATATATATATATATATATATATATATATATATATATATATATATATATTGTGTATTTAGGCAGGAATCCCTCTTTTATAAATGTTTCATTAAAGACGACAGATAAGATATTGCGATTAATTTTATTTAATTTTTCTTGTGTTCGAACAAGTGTTTTCTTTTTGGGACACAGAGTACATAGAGACTCTCCAAATGTTCTGTAACTTCGAGCGCATTCGTTTATACGTTTAGCCATGATCAAGGATGATTTTATTTTTTACTTTTTAACTGGATGTATGGGTTCTGTGTATGTATCTAAAGTTATAGGGATGCTTTATTTTCCGAACACAGTCAGTACATTGTGGACATGTTCGTAGTTACTATTATTGAATTTTTTTTTTTTTTTATTATGGCTTCCAATATTTTTTAAACTTGTTTTATATGTGTATGAGGTTATTATGTCTGTATTTTCTACTAGTATGTTTTGGGTGGAGTTTGGTATGTTTGTGTATGCGTGTTTAAATGGGTTCTGGTGGAGCTGTGGTCGGATAGGTGTACGTCAGCCGTCTGGATAGGCATGTATTAGTGTGACCGATGAAATTATTTACTTTGGTTTGAATTGAAACACAGTTTCTTAATGGGCATTTGAACTCGTAAATAATGTTCGTTATTTGTTTTGATTTTGCAGATGCGTTGTTATTTTTTAGGATAAGGTTAGCTGTTTCAAATTTTTTGTAATAGATAATTAATTTAATTTTTTGTTTGGGTCGACTGTGATAATGTATTTCTTTACGATATTTCTAAGTGAAGATTCATTTTGTTTATAGTTGACATGCATCTGGCTTTTGTAGATATTTATGCTATTGTTTTTGTATGCGTATTCACTATCGTTATTTATTTTTGGAAAGAAATAATCTAATCTGGTGATCGACGAGGTGGTTAGGAAAACCATTGTTAACTAGTGTCAGTGTTTTAATTCTTTAAAGAAAAGTAGACGAGAGGATGAATTCTCATGTACTCTCTTTAGGAAGTTTTTTTATCAATGCTATTTTGTATCAGAGTGGGCATTCACTCTTAAAATTAAGGTGGCAAAAGTTTCTGCTAGTGGGCTTTTTTATACAATGAGGGGGTGAAAGTGTTGTTACTGTATTCTACGAGAGCGTCTAAGGATGGGAGTTTATTTTTCTCTTTTAGTTCGTAGGTAAAGTTAAGGACAGAGTTTTTTTTTTAAATGTGCTCATGAGAGTATCTATTTCTTTTGTGTTTTTCGCTAAAATAAAATTAGCGTCTATTTCGCGGACATAAATTTTAGGTTTACTGACCTGTTTAAATATCTGTTTTCGATATGGGACATGTAGTAATTGTTGAAGCACGGGCAGAGCGGATTTCCCATACTAACACCATTAGTTTGGGTGTAGATGTTGCCATTATGGTGGTAAAAGCGGACTTTGTTTGTGCAATGCAGGTAATAATTTTTTGAGGATATTTGGTTTGATGGATGGAGGTGGAATAGAATTATTTGTGTATACGGAGTTATGGATAATGTCAATAGTTTGATCTACGTTTGTGAATAAATTTTCAACGTCGAGTGACGCTAAGATACTTTCTGTTGGTTTTATACTTTTAAAAATTTTGAGGAATTTGTGGGTGGATGTGATGCTGTAATTGGTGAGTAGGTATGGGATAATAATGTCATTAAGGAATTTTGATAGCTCGTAGATAAGGTTTAGGATCTGGGAATTGATTGGTCGTAACGGGTATCCGGGTTTGTGCATTTTTATATTTCCGTACGCACACACAGACACACATCTATCTACATATATATATATATATATATATATATATATATATATATATATATGGAGAAAAAGAGAGAGAGAAATGGATCGACTGAAACACACACAAATTGATAGATAGGAATTTTGATAACTCGTAGATAGGGGATGTGGTCTGGGAAATAAATGGTCGTAACGGTATCCGAGTTTGTGTATTTTTATATTTACGTACACCACACCCCCCACCTATATATAGATAGATAGATAGATAGATAGATAGATAGATAGATAGATAGATAGATAGATAGATATGAATCGACTGAAACATACACACACACACACACATAGATAGATAGATAGATAGATAGATAGATAGATAGATAGATAGATAGATAGATATGAATCGACTGAAACATACACACACACACACATAGATAGATAGATAGATAGATAGATAGATAGATAGATAGATAGATAGATAGATAGATACTTTTGCACCTCAACAAAATGAAAGAATACTTTCTTAAACAACATCTTAGCAACTAAAATAGCATTTTCATTAGAAGGTTTGTTTCTCTATGCCAGATTCATAACGTTAATTACTAGATATTTCAAGGAAATAAAAATCGCTCTTTTACTATTACGTTCTTCTCGTTGGAGACTGGATATAGTTTCGTTCAACAGTTAATCCTATTTGTCTTTTGTTTCCAATGACAAAAAACCTCTCCCGTCGCAAACAAATCTTCTAATAGAAAAAAACAGCCCTCGTGCTCTCCCTCTGGGGTCCAATATGCCAACAACGAGTCTATGGCGATGACATATGTCTTCGTAATTGTTGACAAATGATCCAGTACATTAAAGAAAATTCAGAATGTTGAACTGATAACTTCCAAGCATTTTCAATGCCAATTGTCTGGATCAGTTATAACAAATTTAGTAAAGAATTTGAACATAGTTTTTTGCCGGGGGTATTACTGTCTAATATCGTAATGTTATTGAATAGCCTCGTCAGATCTAGACTCTTATACGCATGGCATCAGGAGCCATGTATTTTCTGGGGCGATACAAGAAACAGACCAGATAGCTCCGAATATACGCGTCAAGGTGAACTTGGGAACAACAGCAGTTAAGAGATGGTTCCACGCTCCCCATAGCCTCCAATATCCGGATCAGAGGCACTGCTGCGGGTGTAGTTTATCGTCATACCCAGAACTATATGTATGTATGCATGCATGTATACGTTTGTGCATGTGTAATGAAACAGATATAAGCATATTTAGATGACAAACAAGAAACTTATTTTTTTCTTAAATATACTCGAAGTTCATGAAGTATACCTTCGGATATTACTGGTGCAATTGCCAGATTGAATCTTGAATGTCCACGGGTGTTGTTAGTGCACATATGTCTTCAAGGAGCGACATCATAAGATCTGCTCAATCAAGTCTGAAACGACGCTCGTTAATTCACCGCCCCTAACCCGCTCCAAATAATGACAGCAACTTGAAAGGGCTTCAAGTAATAAACTGTCTGCGGTGTCCGGTGTCTAGTCAGGCTGAGAGCTGTAAGCAAGCTAGATGGACGGACATTGTTTGACATACACATCGCTTCTCTTTAGCGTAATATTTCTATTAAAGCATTCATCCCGCCATTTTATCTCACAAATTATCTCCCTTTTCAATCCTCTCTAAACAGCCTACTTCTTTTTTCAGCAGAAAGAAAACATACATACGGTGTAATTCTTCCGTTTCTTCTTTTCTCTGTGCCTTTTATTAATATTTTTTCTCCCTCTTCTCTGTTTTTCTGTCTCGAATAAACATTTTCTTCGTGTTTTCTTTTCTTATTTTGATTACTGTTTTTTTTTTATCCTTGTTTTCATAATTGCACATCGTTTTCCCTTTCTTATAAATTTTTCTTACTTTCGCCATTCTTTCTTTTCAACTTCTTACTAGACATCTTTTTCTTCCCTACTCCACTACTCTCTCTCTCTCTCTCTCTCTCTCTCTCTCTCTACTAACTTCTCTCTTTCTTTCTCCCTCGTCACTACACTTCTTTCGTCTACATTACTTTCCTCCTTCCTTACCACTTTCTTCCTCTCATTCGCACCACTTTTTTCCTCTCTTCCTCGTCACTTTCAATGTTTCTTCGTTGTCATATTTTTCCTTTTTCTTCTTTTCTTTCTTCCTTTCTTTCTTTATTTCTCATCAGTTTCTTTATCCCTCCATTTCCATCTTTCTTTGTCGCCACTTTCCTTCTTCCTCGACACTTTCTCTCTTTCTTTCTTTATTTCTTTCGTTCACACTTCCTCCTTCTAACTTCCTCACTATTTCCAATTTTTCATTCTCGTTACTTTTTCTTATTTGACACTCACCTTTTTTCTTTCTTTTTTCTTTCGTTCTCGCCATCTCCCTTTCTTGGAACTTTTTTTCTTTCTTTCTCATCATCTTCCATCTTTCTTTCTAGAAAATTTCCTCCTTTCTTTCTCGCCACCTTCCATCTTTCTTTCTCGGAACTTTCCCCCTTTCCTTCTCGCTACCTTCCATCTTTCTTTCTCGGAACTTTCCCCCTTTCCTTCTCGCTACCTTCCATCTTTCTTTCTCGGAACTTTCCCCCTTTCCTTCTCGCTACCTTCCATCTTTCTTTCTCGGAAATTTCCTTCTTGCTTTCTCGCTACATTCTATCTTTCTTTCTCAGAAATTTTCTTCTTTTTTTCTCGCCATCTTCCATCTTTTCTTCTTGGAAATTTCCCCTTACCTTTCTCGCCACCTGCCATCTTTTTTTCTTGGAACGTTCCTTCTTTCTTTCTCGCCAACTCCCATATTTCTTTCTTGGAATTTTTCTTCTTTCTTTCTTATCACATTCCATCTTTCTTTCTTTGAACTTTCTTTCTTTCTTTCTCGCCACCTTCCATCTGTGTTTCTGGAAACTTTACTCCTCTCTATCCCGGAATTTTCCTTCTTTCTTTCTCGCCGCCTCCCATCTTTCTTTCTTGGAACTTTCCTTCTTTCTTTCTCGTAACCTTCCATTTTTTTTCTTCTCGGTACTTTCTTTTTTTTTCTTTCCCGCCACCTTCAATCTTGCTTTCTTGAAACGTTCCTTCTTTCTTTCTCGCCACCTTCCATCATTCTTTCTCGGAACTTTCCTTCTTTCTTTTTCTTACATCTTTTTGTCTCAGAATTTTTCCTTCTTTCTTTCTTACACCTTCCGTCTTTATTTGTCTCTTCATTCTAGACATTTCCTTTTTTTTTCTTTCCTCGCATTCTTACTTCTGTCTTCCTCCCCAATCTCCTTTTACTTCCTCGTCATTTTCATTCTTCAATTTCTTCGTTTCTACTTTACTACTCTCTTTCCTTTTTCCTTGTCACTTTCTTTCTTTCTCGCTTTTCCTTCTTTCTTCTTCTCCATTTTCTTTCTTTCTTTGCTTTCTTTTCTCATTTCATTGTATTTCATTTCTTCTTCTTTCATCTATTCTCGTTTTCTTCATTCATTTCGTCTCTTGGTTTTCTCTCTTTTAATTCTTTTCTTCTTCAATTGATGTTTCATTTTTTTTATTCCTTTTATGCATTCTCTTCCTTCCATTTTTTATCTTCTTTTCTTTTTTGTCCTTTTCTTCTACAATCTCTCGTTTCTTCTTCTTCTTCTTCTTCTTCTTCTTCTTCTTCTTCTTCTTCTTCTTCTTCTTCTTCTACCAATACTGGCACTTCTCTTCAGCAACATTGTTGATATTGCCATTGGCTTTGTTGTTGTTATTATTGTTGTTGTTATTATTGTTGTTGTTGTTGTTACGACTCTGTTGTTTGTACTTGGTTTCCGCCTCTCTGAACCTACAACAGTCGACCTGACACTTGCGAACGCGCAGGCCGACCAACAAAAACAGTCGCACACGCATGAACATGCATGGGCCAAAACGCAGGCAACCGCACATAACAGGAATTTACACGCACACTTCAACACAAACACATAACAGGCATTTGCACGTTGATACCCGCACACACAAACGCTTATATAGATACAACTATATACGTATGCCGGTACAAGTTAATCACTAAAAGAAAAAAAAGATTAGAGAAAAAATTACGTACGCAACCGCCGAAAGTAGATAAACGTACACGGCACGGCCTTCTTAATAGACACATTCTAGTATATATATATATATATATATATATATATATATATATATATATATATATCTTCTTAAACTTTCTAGTCGTAAAGCCTTGCTCGAAGCAAGACAGTTAAATCGGTCAGGCCTTCGCATACGTCCGCTATCTTTTAATGCGGGAAGCTTAGCTTCTATGACTTCCAGTTTGTCCCTCACACCAAAAACAAATCGCGTCTGCTTGAATACAAATGGGAAGAAAATCGAGAAGGTGATTATTATTATTATTATTATTATTAATATTATTATTATTATTATTCCGTCTCATTTTTCTTTGTTTGACAAACGTTTACCAAACAGAGATCAATGTTATTTTTTTTAATCTTGGGAAATGAGTGGACATTGTAGATTGAAATATCTTTTTTTTCTTAGTATATGAACAATACTTACAAAGATAATATTTTGTATTTCATATAAAGATGGCTTTTTCTGGGATTATCTTAATGTTTCTATCATTATTTTCTGTAATTGTTCCTAGTGTTCTTATAACTACTGGAATAATGGTTGTATTTATATGTCACGCTCTATTACGTGATCTTTATATATAAATTATCAAATTTCGCTGGAGAGTTTTTTTTAACAAACGGTGTGATTGTGTCAATAAAATAGCATTTATTTAAGTCATTTATTGGAATATTTGCTTTTATCATTATTATTATTATTATTATTATTATTATAAAATGAATGGTAGGGATTAAGAAAAACAGACCAATATCAACCTTCCCTCACTGTGTATGCGAGTAATGTAATGGGGATGAGAAATTGGAGAGCCGTGTTCGAATTTCAGTTGAGTTCGTTACATTCAAATGGTATGAATCCATTTCTCCTCCCTATGGGTTAAATAGTAAGATGTGAATCTGGAAAAATCATTGTTATCTAACAATTGTTAATATTATTGTTAATGCAATATTCACTGGCAAAAAAGAATTATTCTTACAAGCCAAAATATGTTTTGGCTTTAAAAAAAAAAACGCACAGTATTGATAAGCTGTAAAAAAAAAAAACATAGTCGGCAATGTTCAACCTTCGTGGCCGCAAAAAAAGATGTGTCAAAAGAACATTTATTCCCTTGACACCGCTATTACTGTATACACTTATGACTCCCTCGACAATCCACCCTATTAAATTTCGAGACAAACGAAGTGGTTAAAATAACACCTCATCTATTAGGCATGATAAAAAATTGTTTAATTGTTAAATTTAACTCACTAAATTAGTAAATGCCTAGTCGACTAGCTCGTTAACCATTACAAACGGTAAGTTACCCATAAATGTTTTCTAAGTCTTAGTTTCGTATAAGTCTACGGAGTACTTAATGATAATTCAAATCAGTGTACTGTAACAGTGGTTTGATGGACAAACCATTGCACACGGTCAACCAGCGCATTTATTTACATATTCAATGTAGTTATGATTTTTTTGTTTCTTTTTTATCATTTCCCCCAAGAAAGGTAATAATACCACGAAAGAAAGATTGATTGATTCCTTTTCTACGGCTTTGCAGGTTATTTAAAACCGGAAAATACTTTTATATTGTGAGACTATATTTTGGAAATAATAATGGTTTAGTGATACAAGTCTTATTATTTAACCTATAGCTGGAGAAAAAGAGGTAGATTCATACCTTTCTCAAGCGTATCTGCGCGTAAGTGAATATAACGACCCCAACTGAAACTGGGCTCTCCGATTAACAATTCCGAGACATTAACCATTACGCAACCCTCACATCCATGTTTATGGCACCTGTTATTCCCAGGTTTACCGTTGCTTAACTTCAGTGATTTTACGGGAACAGATGTTTCAACCATGATGTGGACTTAAGTTTATGATAGAAGAAGATTGTTTTCTTTGGAAATTATCAAGTATATTGAATTGAAAGAGTTTTTTGAGGTGTGTTAGCAGAATGCATTAACTAAATCTTTTGTTTTTCAGCTAAAGATTCTTTGAATTCTCCTTTTGTATCTATCAGTATTCTTCTTAATCCTTCCCAGTGATCCTATTACTATTGGAATCACGACTGTGTTAGAATGTCACATTCTGGTAACTTCGATTTCCAGATCTTTATATTTGGCAAGTAATATTTTTTGGCCGGAATATTTTTTACCAGAAGTCATGGTCATGTCTATAAAATATTTTCATTATTATTTATTATTATTATTTTGTTATGAGTAGGAGCACTGAAGTAGAAACCCACAGTTGTCACTAGGGATTGAGTGGCAGCATGTCTTTTCAATCACCAGCACTTTCCTCAGCACTTGTGCCGATTCAAACACTGCAAGGAATTTGGGTTCCCTGACCAAGCGAAATGGTTAACGAACCGATTTCAAAACAAATTACTACCCAGTAGGGAACTTGATCCACTACGGCATTATGTTATTATCATTATTATTATTATTATTATTTCCTGTTGTATACACATTCCTTCCGGGTCCCAACCAAAGATCTAAGTTCAGAAATGACATCATGACATTTTCCATCGATGATTTTTATTTTAAAAAATACCTAAGATCACACATATTTTATATACATGAAACTTTTCGTAATGTGTGAGATATACTTATGAGTACAATCTTTTGTATACCTGTAAGTCATGGGCTACCAGGAAAAGTCTTCTTTGAGTCTATCTAAAACTTTTCGAATCAATACGAGGGTTCCAACTACAACTGGGATACCCTCATTTGCCACATTTTTAGATTCCCACTTTAAGATCCTTGTATTCTTATAGTTGTTTTAAAGATCTTCAAAGACACATTAAATCTGCTGAGGCTGCCATGTCAATAAGAAAGCGTATTCTGTTTTTGTGGGCTTTCATCACGAAATCTGGTTGATTAGATTTGAGTGTTCTGTCTGTGTGTATTGTAAAGTCCCCTAAATATTGTTACAGGTTCTATCTCTGTAACCGGGTCTGGTTGGGTTGATGTCCCAACCAATTTCTTGCATTTTGTTCCCCGTAAAAGTTGCAGATTTTTCAATGCAGAAAATTCCATTCTGTCATGCAGAGTTTTATACTCAGTGGGTGCTAATACCGTGCAAATTGATACAAGATGGGCAATTGTTCTTGTTATTTTTATTATTATCTGTGTATGTTTCCTGCTTTGTATCCCGTAGATCCGGATCCAAACTATGGTCCTTAGGCCCTATAGGAGAATTCTCATTTAATCGATAGCACTTTTCTTAGTATATGGGATGTTCCTAGTAAAGCGATCTTCTGGGCAACATGTATGTTACCTGAGACACTGTTGGTAAAATTGTCCATTCCTTTTCTCACGATGCTCAGAGCTTCGATTACTCTTTATAGAGTCTCAGCTTTCATTCCCCACACCCTGTTCATCTCAATCTCCAGAAATTTGACAATTTCTCGATAATTTTCATGGAAGTATCATGTATTTCCCTTTATTGGCCTAACGTTTTTCATTAACATGAAATAATATGATTATATTCACTCAGCTGCTATGAAATTTAGTTCCCTGTGTCACGCCTGACAATTTTTCTCGTCAGAATCGATCTTCCATGTTTATAAATCTACCATTCATCCGAGCATTGGCTCTTGCTGTCACATCTAGTCTGGTGATCCTGCTATATATCTCGAGATTCTTGCAAAATCCAGAGAAAAGTTTGTAATGTTATCGGCCACTGACTTTCTCACTGCCGTGACGTGGTTTCCCTGTTTTTTGTTTTTTGTTTTTTTTTTGGGGGGGGGTCTATAAATTTCTGATGAGCTTTCCTCCTTCATAACTCGACTACACGAATTGAAGCGTACTACTAGATTGGCAAGGAGGTCTCATCGTTTTACTGTTGATGTAACCGTAAGTTCTTTTCTAATAGTTTCTTTTCTCACACTTGTCGCTTGTGGAACTCTCTTCTGGCTTCTTGCTTTCCAGCCAACTTTGATCATCAGAAACTTTAACGGAACGTTAATCGTTCTCTTCTGTCTTCTTAATTCATGTTTCTTTGTTGTCCTTGCTCTTTAATAGAGTTTTCTTTTTATATTCTTTCATACTCAGTAACACTTTGTGTTTTAGTAGTTTTATTGCGTTGCCTAGGGAGAAATAATTAAAAAAGCGGTTTTATCAACGAATGCTGAGAATACCACGGAAGAACATGTGTGACACGCGAAAATATAACAACAAAAAAGGAACCTGATACTTACATTCAAAAATTTATAGGACACCTAACGAGGACATGGGGCCTGGCGAATTTAAAATTCACAGGATATACTTAACACAAGGAGAAACAGCGAGTAACCTACTTAAACAGTTTGAGTGTAAGAATGAAAAGACAAAGATAAAAAGGGATGCTACAGACAAAAAAAAAGACAGCAACAAATAATATGTTTAATGGCATTAATATAGGATTACTAGCAGTAGAGCCCGGCGTTGCCCTGGGATGTAATACTAAGAGATAGATCAAGTATCGACCATCATAAAGACTGAAAAATAAAATTGACAAAGATTATTGTTTAAGGTTGACGGACACGCATGTCTTAATTAGTTTTTGTTTTTTTGTTTTTTTGTTTTTTGTTTTTTTTTACGAATTGGTCAAACTCAAACAAAAACATTGTTTTCAATCGTTATGAGTCTACCGATTGAATAGAATTTTATTATAAACAATTGTGTTGTAAATGGAATTTTTAAAGAATTCTGAATGTAAAAATAAAGAAAAAAGTGTGCAAGACAATAAGAAACACTACCTGCCAAAAAAAAAGTGAAGTTTTGTTGAAATCGGTTGAAAAATGTAGGAAATCCGATCCCATATATAAACGAACACACACACACACACATACACACACAACCTGGGTTTTATAATAAGTATAACTCGATATGAATTGTCCCTCTTTCATTCTCGCGACAGCGATGTCTCTTAATTGTGTTTCCAAATTGATTTCGTGCAAAAACAATTGTGTTTTTCCAATTTTTGGTGCTGTCAGAACCACCGCAAGGTAATTTTACGTAGTCCTGTGAAGTTTTGTTGAAATCGGTTGAAAAATGTAGGAAATCCGATCCAATATATAAACGTACAGACACACACACACACAATCTGCGTTTTATAATAAATAAGATATTGAACATTATTAAATAATAATAATAATAATAATAATAATGTGGTACATGTTATGACCTGTTTACTTCTACATCCAGTGTAAAGTATATATGTGTTTATGCGTGTATGTTTCTATGATTTCTATTTCACTAATGGTCGCTCCTTGTCGTAGTGGAGGGGCTTGCGTGGTTCAGTGACTCTGACAGTGATGCTGTCGGGAGTTCTAAACTCCTGATAGAGACATCCTTGGCGGCAAGCTCGAAGATGAGGACCTAGATTAAAGCGACCAACCCCAGACCCAAACGTTGGAACAAGCTGATGACGATTGCAACAGATCTCAACGGTTGAATTAGCGGATGAAGAGGGCTACGCATGACGGACATGCTACAGAAGGCGCCACTCGAAATTATAACAGCGTCAGCGACAGTCCGATGCAGTTTCATAACTGGATTCTGCATGTCTCATTCCATGTGTGCCGCAGAGGAAGGTCATGAAATAAAGGGCGTGGATCAATTCCTGGCAAGTTGAGGTTCATCATAACAAATTAACGCCATCGGTACTTTCTTCTTATCTGATTTTCATTCACTCCCAACCAAATCTTGCAAAGCCAAACGGCGATAGGGAGTGGATGACGGGAGCAGGTTTTGTTGAAACTGGAAGCTTATAGTCTTGAACCTGCGCATTGGTGGCGAATTTAGTCATCAACGTCATCATCATAAAGGAAGAGATCAGAAAAGAATAAATTAAATTCTTGGATACGAGATAAAGCTTAAGACGAAGATTAGACATAATGAAAATGAAGTGGCGAGCAAATTCTGTACCAATCGTGTTCCAACCATGATAACCAGATTCGAATCTCAGCATGATCGTTTTCTCAGGGAGTTACTATTACGATCGACGGTTTGAGAGTAATGATTTTTTTTCTAACTCTCTTGAGCAGTGAGTGTTAAAAAATTACTTTTCCATGTTTAAGACAATTTTTAATTCTTTAAAATGAAATAATCATTTATTTATGCTTTTTTTTTATCAGAGGCCGAAAGCGATTGGCGAAGTTATTGCACACCCACGCAGCTCTTATTGTGCTCTCCGTGCTTGTCGTGCTAGATGCGACCTGTGTAATTGGACAGCTACTAGCAGACATATTTATTGTAAAAGGTAAGATGCCTTACTTTTCCTTTTCATCGCCTACCATCCAACAAAATAACTCTGCTCTTCTTAATTCCATATTCACAAGTAAAATACATACAGAAAATGGTCAAGCTTTTTTACAAATGGTAGCTGTCGCTACAAGCAATTTATTTTGAACGTTTTTGCATGTACCTTCAATATTGGTGAGGGAATTCTCGCAAAATCTCTCTATCACAGTCGCTTCATATCTTCCTATTTCAATTGTTTTCGTATTTATTTATTTATTTGTATCGGTCTCTTCATATCTATCTATCTATCTATCTATCTATCTATCTATCTATCTATCTATCTATCTATTTCAGTCCTTTCATATCTATCTATCTATTTCAGTCTGTTCGTATCTTTCTATCTCTGTATCTCAATATGTGTATTTCAATCTATCTAGCTGTCTATCTCTCTATTTATCTGTCTCTCTCTCTTTTTTTTCTCTCTCTCTAACTATATATATATATATATATATATATATATATATATATATATATATATATATATTATTAAAAGGCATGAGATTATATTCGTTTCGTTAAGGTCGTAAAAAAGTCCCAATTCATCAGACTTTCAAATCCAAAAGGAAACAGAAAATATTTCTTCAGATTTAAATAACAATATATATATATATATATATATATATATATATATATATATATATATATATATATATATATATATATATATATATATTCGGGTAGTGCAATGGAATTCCAGTTGGTTTCGTTACAGTCACTTACGCACAAATCCCCGTGTGAAAATATGAATCCATCTCCTCTGTCCAGCTATGGGTTAAATAGTATTGCTTGCATGTGAAAAAAATCATTGTTATTCTCTGAAAATTGTTAATGCAAGATTCATTCGCTAGAAAAAGGTATTATTCTTACAATCAATATATATATTTTGGTTTAAATATCTAAGGGTTGATAAAACGTAAAAACAAATGAATCTATATTTGTCTCCTCGTGTCTGTCTGTCTATATCAGTTGTCTTCATACCTCCCTATTTATTTCATTTTCTTCATATCACATTATCTATCTACTTATTTCTGTCTGTTCATCTATCTATCTATCTATCTATCTATCTGTCTATCTATCTATCTATCTATCTATTTATCTATCTATCTGCCTTAATCTCTTCATACTATCTATCTACTTATCTGTGATGTAACTGTGTGTACATATCTTTCTATCTATATCAGTATTTTCACATCGATTTGTATACCTCTCTATATCAGCGTGGTCATCTCTATCAGCCAATCTATATATATATATATATATATATATATATATATATATATATATATATATATATATATATACCTGTGTATTTATCTATTTATCAATCTATATATATTTATCTATTTATCAATCTATATATATTCAAGTGATTAATATAACACCTCATCGATATATTTATGTTTATATTTGTCTTTTTATCCATATTTCTATCTCGCTTGTAGGACTCTTCTTCCTTTCCAGTCAACTTTGATCTTCAAAAATGTAAATGCAATGTCAATCGTTATCTTCTGTCTTCTTAATTCCTGTTCTTTTATTATTCTCTCTATTCAATAGTTTTTCCTATATTCTCTCACACTCAGTAACTCCCTTGCGTCTTAATGGCTTTATTGCTTTGATTGGAATGAAATGATATAAAAATGTCTTAGGATTCCAAACCAAGTCCTCAATATAGTCTCCGTCCTCTCCTCGGCCTAGTTTTCTTCCTCATCAGTCGTAGTTTCCCTAGTCTTTGAACGACGACCTGTATACCTGTCACGTAGAAACTTCTTAACTCTTTTGTATGAGTTGCGTCTTTCACTTCGTTGTACTCTGAATTTCTTCTTCATGGAGGAAAACAGATGGAAATCTAAGTGCGTCAATACAGAAATATAGATTGAATGAGAAAAGGTTTCTCCAGTCTTACATTGTGATTACTTGTCGGGTCATTAAGCTGTCGTGTATTGTCACGTTGCATGAATATATTCATATTCAAATGTAGCCCAGCTCGAAGATGCCTTGCTTTGAGATTTGAAAATGTGCACAGGACTGGTTGGAAAAAACTGACCAACTTGAACCTTGTATTGGATTCAGTACTATAGAAAAAAAAGATTACCATTCTTTAGATCATCTTCAGGCCGTGACACTTGGCACAATCGAAAAATATTGATTTTTTTTTTTTTTTTGTCATTTTGGAAGTAGTACTGTTCATAAAATCAATACAGTGTAAAATCGATCTCTGACTTTTTACAGAGTTATCTGGACCTGGTTGTTATCTAAAAATTCAATTTACATCAATGATATCTACATATTTTTTTTAACTTTCTGCTTTTTTAATCTGTTTACATTTCTGAAACTCATTTACATATTTTTTAACTTTTTGGTATGAGTTTTCTTTGGAAGCATATTTGACAAACATTTGAGGTTAATAATTATTTATCTGAAGTTGATAGATTGATTGAATTATTTTTTACAACTCGTCAACCTTTTGCAGGTTATTTAAAGCCAGAAAGTACGTTTAGATTGTAATCATTTTTAGGAGATAATAATGATTTACTGACACACGTCCTACTATTTAACTCGTAGTTGGGGGAGAAGAGATATATTCATACCTTTGCCAAGGGATTATAACGAACCCGACTGGAATTGGAACTCGACTCTCCGATTTTCAATCCCGAGACATTACACCAACCGCACTGCTATTCCCAAGCGGTCACCCATCAAGACCAGGCTCGCCGTGGCTTAACTGATCGTACGGGAACCAATGTTTCAACGCGATATGGTCATAAGCCTTTTTATCTTAAATGAAGAGCAAATGGATGCATATATTTATAACTTATGTAGTTTTGTTCTTTACAAATATGTGTGTTCATTTTTTTCTTTATTTAAAAGAATTCTTTTTGTGCCCATCACACAAAAATAAGAATCATGTCTCGCTAGAATGTCTAAGACTGAGTGGTGAGTTCGATCTTCGCTGGGTCCCCTAGACTTTTAGCTTTGTGCTAAATCTAGACTATGCTTAGAAAACCTCAACGTGTAATGGTTAGCAAACTTGTCTCGCTAGATCAATTACGACTGAATAGTGAGTTCAAGGCTAGACATCCGGGCTTGTCATACGCTTAGAAGATCATCTGGAGCACTTAATCGTGATGTAATGTTTAGCAAGCTTGTCTCGCTAGAACAATTATGACTGAATTATGAGTTCGTCCTCACTGGATGCCCTAGACTTCCGGCCTTGTACCACATCTAAGCTATGCTTAGAAAATAAATTGGATCACTTCAACAGGATTTAATGTTTAGCAAGCTTGTCTCGCTAAAACAATTACGACTGATTAGTTAGTTCAATTCTCACTGGGTGCCCTAGACTTCCGATTTTGGGAATCGTAGCCTAGAAAACCACCAGAAACTTTTCGACGTGGTTTAATGATTAGCAAGTTTGTCTTTCACGACAGAGTGGGGTGTTTGATCCTCACTGGGTGACTCAAGACTTTAATCTTGTGTCGAATCGAAGCTACGCTTAGAATATCACCATATGCTTCTTGGATAATGTATCGTGAGCGTTATTCCGTCAAATACTTATGTAATTCAAAAAAGTTTTATGTGCTATAAAATCCATTACATTCCTGCATTTTGTTTTTTGTTTTTTTTTGTTTTGTTTTTCAGAAAACCTCGAAAAGACAGAAATAGAAAAACACGACCTCGCCATCACGCTTCATAGTATGTTTCCGAAATTCTTTAACAACACCGAAAATTTATCTCTTAACGAAATGCTCGGCCAACTGAAAGAGACTCTTGAAGTGGAAAAAATATTAGATAATTACACCCAGTACAGACAGATAAACCGGGACGACCTCGATCCTGACCGGAGCACTACAGCTCTCCTTCTAAATTCAACAGAAGTGGCACCTCAGGTTGCAAAAAAGTTGCCGCCGAACTCAACAAGCGCTGATCAGAAATCCGAGAACCAAAACCAAGATCTCAGCGTGCTGGACACCGAACAAGACGAATTCCTATTGGCTTGGAAGCAGTTAACCAAGTCCCTCAAGGAAGATGAGAATATACTGAAACTAATTACTGGCTCCAGGACCTCTTATTTGGGGTCGGTTGACGAACAGTCGGGGAATAGCAGTCGGTCCAAGGTGAAAGAAAGTTCTCTTAACAAGAAATCCAGTAGAAAAACTGGAACTAAAGAGAAAGGAGACTCGGAAAAAGAACATGACATTTTACTGGAGGTGACACACGTGTTTCATTTGGCAAGTTTATCGATTCTGTCAATTCTGTTGTTTGAGGTAAGTACAACAATGCTTGCGCATGCGCTAATATGAAGTTAGTTAACGGCTCTGAACGAGAAACAGGCGAGCCGAGTTTGAATTCCGGTCGAGTTCGTAGCATTCACTTTTGTACAAATAAATTTGAGAAATGTATGAGACCATCTCTTATTCCCTCCCTATACCTTGCGGATTTTCGTAATCTAGGATCTCGCCAAAAGTCGATGAATGACTGCAACTCTTTATGCACTTCTGTTGCAAATACAATTGCCTATACAAGTAAATTATTTCCTTATGTTTTGTTTTGTTTTTTCTTTTTCTTTTTTTAAGAAAATAATTCCGAAGGTGGTTATTTGGATGATATTAAAAGGCATACTTTCATTTTTAAATTTCACAATTTGCAACTGGCCAACTGTCCCAACAACTTTCTTCATATCTTTTCTCTCTTGCATGTCATTTTATTTTTTCCTTCGATTTTCAGGGACTCTTTAGGGAGGTTACGGGATTTGGGTATGGCTCCATACTACCCAGGGGGATCCTCACTGGGTGCCCCATACTTTCGGCCTTGTGCCACATCTAAGCCGGGCTTAGAAAATCACTACTACCCAGGGAGGCTACGGGACTTGAAAGCTGTGGCTCCACACCCCTCAGGGAGGTTTCGGAACATGAGAGCTGTAGCTCCTATTCCTTCCTTCCTCCCTCTCTCTCTCTCTCTCGCTCTCCCTCCCCCTCTCTCCCTCTCTCTCCCTCTCTCTCTCTCTCTGGGATGAGGAATTATTTACAGTAAGACTTCACGTTTGTGTTACAATTACAATCTGTTGATCAGGGTGTCCTGGTAATTCTGGACTAAAAACTTCTGCTACTGACAGGGGCAGATTGTCTACATTCGTTGTCCATACCTTATTACAGTTCACTTATAGCCAGCCATGTTTCCACTGAGTCTGAGAATATATGGTGATCTTATAAGCGTAGCTTAGATGTGGCACAAGGCCGAATGTGTGGAGCACCCAATGAGAATCGCATTCACTACTCAGTTGTAACTGATCTAGCAAGGACAAGCTTGCTAACCATTGCATCACGTCAAAGTTTTTCAAGTTTGAGAATACATGTACAATCAGGCAAACGGATTTAGCTCACACTAGCTTATAGGATTAATGCGTTGTTAGTGAAATTGGTAGTATAGTTAATGGGAGTTCAATCCCTGTACTAAGTAATGCAGTTTTACTGAAACTCACTGGAAACTGGACTACCAATACTAAAATACTGAATCTGAACAAGATACTATATTGTACTCTGCTATTTAATAGTGGGGGTGGGGGAGAAATGGCGTTAGTGCAAAAGTGAACACAACAGAATTGGTTGGAGACTTTAACTTGGTTTGCCGATTCCAGTTTCCACACCGGTACCAGTAACATTTGCTATTTGCACATTCATTCATACGACAGAAATACCAGTAATAAATAACAGAAGTGTGGTAAGAGACTGAAGTGGCAAATGGAAAGCAATACGAGAGAAAGAGGGGAGGTGGTGAAGAGAGGCCAGCTAGACGGCAAGGCAGCAGCAGGGGAGGCAAGGACAAAATTAGGTTTAAAGCCTCAAGTGCTAGCTTCAGGACGGGCTTACGGATCTCCACAACTTCCTTTTATTTCTTACTTATAAATTTTCACATTTAAAATGCAACTTCGTACGTGTCCTGCTATCCATTCACATAAGCTTGTTAAATAGGTTATTCTCTTCTTTCAATATATCCTGTTTATTTTTATAAAGGTTCACCCAATGCACGGCAAAAGAGCCACTCAAGGTAGAGATGTGGATGTGAATGTAAACGAACGGACAGGAAGGGAGGGTTGTAATTAATAATGAGGAGACATAATGATTTGAATGGGTTAAGATGGTAGTGCTCAGAGATGCTTCCACAACTGACACTTCATTTGATTAGGTTAAGATTCCAGTTGTTGGGCAAAAAGGGGTCTTACAGTTGGAATATTGAGAAAATGAGGGTGATTTGTCAACGTACCATGTGAGTGTTAAATTTTCTAGGCCTTCTTTTACAATTAAGTGTCCCCGAAATTTTTCTGACTATTTCTGGCCTAGAATAATGGTTAATGAAATTAATGACAATAATTGTGAGTATGGATATACTCTGACTCAAGACTGGCAATAATTGTTCAATTCACCAAAATGATATATCCCTGGAAATGGACAGTGGAATGAGAATAATCTTTACCCCCCCCCCCACCATCCTGTAGATTAAATAAAGAGTTCAGTTCGAAATTCCCTGTAGATAACCCGGATTAACAGACAAGGGAAGAAGTCCAAAGGACCCAGCAGACGAAACGTAAATAAGTATTGCTTTTATATTGCATTTTCTTTCTGTCATCTGATAACGTTTTTATATTTGGCACCATTTTATTCACCGTTCCTTTATTGTTCTGATCTTTCAGACATTACTGAAGATATTTGCAATGGGCAGAAAACTTTGGAATCACAAACTTGAGGTAAGTTACATCTAAATAACTTTTACTTACCTATATATGTCGGGTTAACCATGGGTAACCCGAGCGCGTACCATCGGTTGCGCTGGCATCGGTATGACTACCGATCCCCCCACTCTCTAGTGCAATAAGGTGGGGTACAGTCGCGGGCAGATGTCCTCCGGGACCGGGCACCTCTCGGAATTTAGTTTTTTTCTCAGCTGCGTCTCTGCCCACGGACAGACCCACAACCGAGGCGCACTCTGCCCGAAGATAGAGACGCAACTGAGAGATGATAAACCCTACCCAGAATGGGCCAGGTAAGTATGTTGACTTATAAATCGCTAGGTTCATGTACGATCACTGAAGTTAAGCAACGTCGATCCTGGTCAGTACTTAGATGGGTGACTGCTTTGGAATAGCAAGTGCTGTATGCTTGGGTGTGCTGGTGGTATAAATGGCTTACGACCATATCATGTTGGAACACCAGTTCTCGTACATTCATCGAAGTTAAGCAATGTCAAACCTGATCAGTGCCTAGATGGGTGACCGTTTGGGAATACCAAGTGCTGTAAGATTGGATGTGCAGTAGTATATTACGTTCAGTGTGGCGCTGGGATTATTGTCCGGCTCACTTATCCTAATTCATGGTATTAATTTAAATTTCCAACTCTAATCTCGTTATTATATGACCGAAAATCAGGGTCCGCAGATGTTTACGGTAGATATCTCCTCAGATTCGTGATACAAAAGTTTTAAAATATTTTTTTTAAATAAAAATCTTTGTTGAAGCTTTTATTTTAGTTTTGATTTCAAGTTAATAGATTAAATTTAATATTTACAATGAGCAAAATATTTTGCTCTATTTCCAAACTAATTGAAATTGACTGAGAGGAATTTTTCTTCATTTTTTTTATTTTTTTTTGCTAAAGATCTAATTTCACCACCATTTTTCGCTCACGTTTAACGCAATGTAATTCTCTTTATTAAAAAAAAAATCCTCCAAAAGTAAAATATACTTTTCTGAAACTTTATTTGTGAAATATTAGGTGATTTAAAGTATAATTAATCTGATTTGAGACAAATATTATTTACTTTAAATTTAAAATATCACAGAAATGCATTTTTAACACAGCAGTAGGTGTTTATTAAGATGTTGACAGCTTGATGACAAATGGTTGTTTAACTTATGGTTTTCTACGGGGTTTTATCTGTAAAAAAATAATTGGAGATTATAAAGTGACCGCTTTTTTATATAATTTTTAAGTACACAGTAATCTTAATATTTAGGAAAATATTCTCCGTAATCTTATGTTTTATTCAATTTTAGATACTTTGGCTTTAAATTTTCTTAAGTTATCGCTCTTATTTTCTGATAATGTCAGGTATGAACAACCGTATCTACAAAAATCGGTACATTTATACACATACAAAAAAAGTAAAATTCTTTAAAAAAATATTGGTGTTTGATGAATTGTACTAAGCTTTTCAATTTATGATTAGTAAATATAATTTTTACTTAATATAATCTGAAAGGGTGAAATTAATACAGAATTTTAAAAGCTTAATAAATTATTCTGATTAAAATAATAAAGGAAATGAAAACAATTATTGTAAAAAATCTTTATTTATCGAAAAAAAAAGTTTTCTTAAGACAATAGTGTCTTTAATATAACTTATATATAAAAACAATTAAAAGCTTTCCTAATTAAATAAGTCTTAGTTTTATTGCATTTTTTTTATTTTACGATTCAGAGCTTTGGTGGGGGAGGTTAACAGATGTAAAAAAAATTATTTTAATCAAGATTTTCTAAAAATAACAATTCAAAAAAATTTCATTCATTTGTGAATAAGTCCTGAAAATTTCATTAAAATCTGAAAATTATTTGATTTTTGCAAGAATTTCCAAAACAATGTGTTTTAAAGTCTAAAAAACGCGTAAATTTCATATACTAATCATTAATCTCCCCCCCCCCCCCGATGACGCAATAAAAACAAGATTTTTAACCAAAATTTCGAATATGCTAGAAAGAGTTAAAGACTTTAATTAAATAATCAAAAAATCAATTAGTCTTTCCTCTTAATAATAACAATCAGTTTAACGCTAAAACTTTGTTTTTATCAAGTTTGGGGCATTTATTTCATCATGGTGTTCTCTTTTTTCAACCAATTAGTGGAGGCACCTAGTTTAGAATATGCATAGATTAAAACGGAGTAGTCGTCCCCTAAATTAAGTGATGTCACCTTATAAATAATTACTGATTAATGTCACTGATTTACACACTGTACCGTATTCAAAATCATTAAAAAACTTGATTGTTCGTTTGGTTTAATTCTCACAACGATGATATAAATAAAATAATCGAATAGCCTAATGAAAACATTTAAATGGGAATCTATTGTAGCGTGGCTCAGTGGTTAAAACATTCAGTTTCTGATATCCGAGTTCGAATCGAATTTGTGGCGGCAATCTCGGGGGTTTCATCGTAACGGCGTTGTTCAAACTGGTGGCCATGACAAATTATACGCCCTCTCGCAGAAACGCTAAGGTTCATTCTATAGCAGTAGTATAAAGTATGTAGTTGTTAAACAAGCACATGTCTGCAACAGGAGCACGTGTCTGCGACAGGGATTGGCTAGTCATTGGCTTTAAGCGTTATTTTTAGTGGATACTCATATTTGATTTGACACCCCGTTTATTTATTAAACAGTATATTTACTTATTTTCACTTGAATATATTTTGCTTCATCAGACAATTACAAATATTATATATTATATAAATGCTTAGACAAGCTAAATTTCTTAATTCAACTAGTTCAGACCTTTACAACTAAGACTTTTGTCTAAATGCTAATAAATATCTTATTGATTCAGTTTATAAATTCCTATGATGTTTTGCTTTTATTGGTTGTGTAGACATCACCTGTTTATTTTATGGCGTTAATGTTTATATATGCAACTTTTTTTATTTCCTATATTTGTTTTGTTTTCATTAGCTGTATGGAAGTGTGTAATTCATTGCATCTGTATGTAAGTTGTATTCTTGAAATGCTAACAAAATTTAATTTAAAGACATTAATTTATTAGGGTATTTTAATTGTAATTAGGGTATTGTAATTGTTATTAATCTCTTATTGTGCCTAATACGATTTACAGTAAGAACGAATCTTTTTATCTGTCACATCGCTATTACTACATTACTAGCTTAAAAGCCGCACTTCATTCGGGCTTTTAAGCCAGCTCCCGCGTAGGGCTAATTGGGTCTCCAGTCTTGTCCAGCTTAGAAAATCCTTGTCCAGCCTAGAAAACACCAATGATAATTTTGAAGAAATAACTTAGAATTCCTCAATTCACTCCATTGAATTTCAAAATCTCACTTCAGGCTCTGATTTAGGTTCTAAGTCTAATTCCAGCCAAAAGACCGATTTGGACTGAAATTCCAATTTGGGCCTATCGATTCAAGCCAAAAATTGAGTTCTTCAAATCATAAACTCCGCGGAACTTAAAAACCTCAAGTCACGAAAACTTTTATTTTAACTCTGATTCCTTGCCATTTTGAAGAACTAACGTTTATTTCCTCAATTCACAGTTTGGGAATTTAAACTGAATTTAAAACAAAAATTTGTAAATTCACAAAGTTTTTGTGTTACTTTAAACTCAATATGATTTTAAAATCACTATTTTTTTCAGTTATTTTAAAATTTTAATTTTTAACTCTTCCCTGCTCATCCTAACACAAATCCCAATGCTGGATGTTCAAGCACCATATGAAGGCAAGATTTTCAATCCCGGAATCATCCTGTTTCGAAAAAGGTATAATATGTAGAGTAAATATGGCCCGAGTTAGTGGAGTTTCAGACACGCGGACGGACAGACAGAATGTTTCTTTTGTTTATATAGATATTATTATAATTGGTCTAATATTTTATCGTGTCTAATTTATAAATTAATATTTATCATACTTATATATGTATTAGTGTATCCGTTCCGTAAAAAAATGACTCCAGTTGTTAAAAAGTTTTGATAATGTGATGTAATGAAACAAAAGTCTTGAAACAATGTATTGAAATGCAGCGAAGATATAGAATTCACAACTAAAATAGAGGCCCGTGAGACGTTCCATGGTCTCTATGACTCATTGATTACTCCTGGTGTTATATAAATCGCTTTTTGCTCAATATCTTTTCGTGTTAAAAATTCTATGTGTTTAATATAAATAGTGGAAATGAAATATCTCTCGGAAGAAAAAGATCAGCAGCGACGGCGACGACAAAGTCAATTTCAAGGCCACACTGAAATATTGATCACATGAGAAAGTGCCTCACATGAAAGGCTTGAACTAATAAGACTGCAATTCAAAAGGAACTGATTAATTAAACGACCGGGATCTAATTTTGTTGAAATGCAAACAGATATAAAGGAAAGTAATCACTCATGAATTTACTAACTTAAATTGGTTTTCAGATGGGACAGGATATATATAAATAATTACACATTGATAAGTATTATATGGTTTGATGTAACAAAAAACACAAACGCGGTGTAAAAAGAGTTCAAAAATATCCGAAGTTTCAGATATCCTTGGAACAGATTGCCTGCAAGCCTATTGCGTGGCAAGCTTGTCGCTATTCGGTCGATATTTCCATGGTAGATGTGCAGACGAGCTACATTCCTTGATTCAACTAGTTCATACATTTACAGCTAAGACGCGCCATGCTACATACACACAGTCGAATCATCCTCATTGGCTTCATATTCCATTCGCAAGGAGGAAGTTCCTTTTGTCAGCTTCTTCCTGAGAACCATTACTTTACAAACTATCAACAGGATGCTTACCCGATTAATACAATCATAACTTCTTCCAATCTAGGATCAGCCGTTATCTATCCTATAAATCCTCATAATCTGCTCTTCTTATTATCTCCAAATAAAACCTCATTCAGTAGACGTCTACATTGATTGGCTCTCGGGCTTGTAATGAGCGAATATTTTCCATGGAGTGAATTGAAGAATTCAAAGTTATAAGGTCAACTCTTTTTTTAATCAATTCACCCCAAGCAAAGCGATAATACCACTAAGATGCAAGACGGCTACTTGTAGGGAAAAGGAATGAGAAGACTTTAGAAAAGGAGCCGGAAACCCAATCCTTAGAAAAGGATCCGGAAAAATCTAAACAGAAACAAGAGATAAGCCTCTACTCCTGTTCAAAAGACCGGGGAGGAATGCGAACTGGGTAATGCTGATAATGAACAGATTTAGCCTTCAAATCCCTTGCCCGTAAGTCTTGTATGCACAAAAGGCTTTTCACCCGAGTGCGTAACTAGCACTTGATAAAATTCTCCCAAACTAACGACGGAAGTAAAATGTTGCCAAGATGAACGCCTTCGGTGGGTGACAGCGGTTTGTGTTGATTACTTCACCTCGGTTGCAGGCCAGTTGGTTATTTAGCGTGCCTTTGACTGAACCCTAATTTTCCAAGCTGCACTGGATGAGGAAGGGTGAGGAGCCAAAAAAAATGGGAACAGGATGTCTCTCTAGTCATCTGTGCAATTAGTGTCGTCCTGAATTGACAGG